GTACATTGCTGATTAAATACACAAGATATTGATTAAAATTATGAATGACAAAGGTGAAACAGAATAACATTTTCTATATTTGAAATTAATAAGCATTTTAAACTAATAATAATGTAAGAATATTATGCAAGAATTTTAAAAACAGTGTTGTATTTCTAGAATTCCCTTCACCACGAGTGATACTAAATAATCCGCCATAGAAATGACAGAACACATGGGATGGCAGGGATCATAAGAGTTTGGCAAACACTGGGATGGAAATAAAATAAAAGCAACCCCAAATACAACAGGTATGGCATAGTCTTACAAAAACAAAAATGTACATACAACACAACAATGGTTCTGAAATGAATCTGTGAATAGAAATTATAATAGAAATAAAAACAAAACAAAAAAAAACACACATTGGAAATTGTGACAGTCTTCTGCTGGTAAAAACAAAACAAAACATGGTTAATAAAACATATAAAATCTATATATATATATATTGGAAAAAGGCCTATCAGCTGAAAAAAAGAAAAGAAATATATTAATGAATAAAGAAAAATTTTAAACATAAAAACAATAAAACTGGAAACTAAAGATTCCAGATATTGTTCAAGCACGAGTGTACGTGTAGAAATGTTGAATTGCAACTGCATACATAAAATTAACCACAACTGACACAGTTTTCACAAGATTTATTCTTAACAATAGGTGAAAGTACAATACAATATGCATAAAGTATCGATCATTATTGTAAAAAAGGTTAAAAGTCCGATGGAAGTACACATAACGTGTCGATTATTCATTGCGAATATTTAGATTCAAATTCAGACACATACACATGTACTTACCTTGATCAAACAATGGAGCATTGTCATTCACATCATCTATTGTTATCTTTACAATAGCACTGTCATTTAATGTGTTACCATCCATATCCGAGACAGAAATCTAGAGAAATCAAAATAAAACAATACCAGTAAAAAAGAATTTATATCAATTTATCAACTGCAAAATTCATTATGCAAATAACAGTGACACTCACCGTAAGATTATAGAATACATTATTATTTGGTGGATCTCTATCAATATCACCAATCACTATGATATCTCCATCTTCATTTATATCAAATATACCATCATTATTACCATTACTAATCCAATATATAAAATATGATGTTATTGTGTCCATATCTGTAGCTGTCACTCTTAATATAGGACTCCTTAACTCAATGTCTTCTGGTATGCTAATAGTGTAGGTTGTATTCTTAAACAATGGACCATTGTTGTTGATGTCCTAAAAGTGATGAGAATGAAAATAGAAAATTTGAAAAATTAATTTGGTAGAAAGTTTCTATTGCTGAGCATGGATGGTGGAAGCTTATAAACAGAAGACGAGATTCAGTCTAAATTTTTTCTGTTACTTCCAATGTAACTAGTTCTGGCATGTCCAAGAAATGAGCACATACACAAGCAAGCAAAATGGAGCAGATAATTTTAAGATGAGCAGAGACAACAACAAAAATTACACCATGCAGTCCACCAAATTTGATATTGATCAAAATTACTTTGAATCCATTCAAAAACCAGTAATAATTGAACACTGTACTCACCTGTATATTGACTGTAACATTGACTGTATTATTCATAACTTGGTTACCAACATATGGCTCTGTATTATAGACTGTGATTTCTATTATAAACAGTGATTGCTCAGTTTCAACATCAATAGCTGAAATTACACTAAGACCACCAGTGGAATTGTCAATATCAAAATGGTTTCCATGGTTACCACTGCTTATATAATACATCACATCATCATTTGGACTGAGATCAGCATCAGTTGCCTGGAAAATGAAAAATCAGTTAATAAACATTAACAAAAAATCTAGCCACCTTTGGCTAAGCCCATCAAGAATAAGATATTCCTTACCTCAACAGTGAGGAAGACACTACCCACAGGACCACGGCCTTCATCTACAGTCACTTGATAGT